CCAATATAGCATTGAAGTAATGTCTATCAGGCTCACCATGCAGCACTGATCCATTTCATGCCTTTGTCGATGTTGGTTTCTGGCATATATACTAAGTAGACCATGCCATGCATTTTGTTTTGCCCTATGCGTCACCTGCTTGTTAGCGCAATTGGAAGACAGTCAGAGAAGACACGGATCGGTAGATATTCACAAAGTCAACAAACGTTAGTGTAAGCATAAAGCGATCAAACGGGGACGCCACTTAAACTAACAATACTACCGCCAAGCTGCCTTTCACGCCAGCAGCGTCTCTCCGCCAACAATGGTGACCGCGCCGAGCGCGTGGGGTTCCAGCATGAGGTAGTCAACGGCAGCATGATGACGGCGATGTCGCCACGAATACTCGTGCTCTTCTCCCATATTCGTGCAAGTGTTCTGAAAATTTACGTCTGACTGGCGGGTAGCCCCAATCGACGCATATGAATGTGTTATAACCATGTGGCTTATCAGTCAACTTTCAAATTCTTGCCAGCCTACATCGCCACTCATGAAGCGCCTATGCGAATTTACAAACTGTCCCGGCAATCTGGGCTGAGGAATGTGGCAGATCGAATGATCAGATGTCAGGTCACGTGACGTGGCAGATCGAATGATCAGATGTCAGATCACGTGACGTGGCAGATCGAATGATCAGATGTCAGATCACGTGACGTGGCAGATCGAATGATCAGATGTCAGGTCACGTGACGTGGCAGATCGAATGATCAGATGTCAGATCACGTGACGTGGCAGATCGAATGATCAGATGTCAGATCACGTGACGTGGCAGATCGAATGATCAGATGTCAGATCACGTGACGTGGCAGATCGAATGATCAGATGTCAGGTCACGTGACGTGGCAGATCGAATGATCAGATGTCAGGTCACGTGACGTGAGCCGTGATCGGAGCGTCTGCAGACGCTGAGACCGGGGGTCCTGTCCCCTCAGCGTCCGGGCACGCCCGATTGCACCCGAAGATGGCGTTACTAACCAAGCCGGCGACCCGTCACCGCCAGGCGACGTGCGATTTAGCCACGCCTCTTTTTTGTTCTGACCAATCGCCATCGCCGACGTACGGTCTAGCCTAGCCACGCCTCTTTCCTTTGCTAGTCGATCGCCGTCGCTGACGTACGACATAGCCAGCCTCTTTCTTGTCCTGAACAGTCAGTAACGCCGACGCACGACCTAGCCTAGCCACGCCTCTGTCTGATCTTGATCAATCGCCGTAGCTGACGTGCGACGTAATCACGCCTCTTTCTCATCCTGGCCAATCACCATTACCGAAGTGCGATCTAGCCACGCCTCTTTCTATGCTGGTCAATCGCTAACGCCAGTTTTGTATTGGGCCATGGGATCTTCACGGCATACCGACTGGGAATATATGCCGAACTATTCACCAATGGATTGCTTGCCGGTAGCACCAGATTGGGTGATGCATTGGGTCATTTTCATCCATGGCGTTTAACAGCGGTGAGATAAGTCAAAACAACCAGGAAGGATTGCATCAAACAAAGCTCTCTCACCAAAGTCTCCTTCCAAAACCGCGGGAATCTTCCACTAGGACTTCAAATCGTGATAGTGCAACATGGTACAGCAAGCGACAGTCATCCTCTCCTCATTGCATCGTATCCAGGGCAGGTGGCGCCACTATAGAAAGCCTCCCATAGATGGCGCTGCTCACAGGAATGTGAAAGACGGCAGCCGCCATTTGGGGTCGTAACGCATGGGGGGGGGGGGGGGCAGGGGAACGGGCTGCTGGAGTTTAACGGAGGCGTAAAAAGGGAGGAGGGGGGGGGAAGTGATGAACTCTGTTTACGCTATGCTCAGGGAGAAGCGAAGACTGAAAATGACGAGAAATGCGTAACATGAATTTGGGTCGGCCCCTGGGTCCGCGGCAAATTTCGCCTTTGTGAGGTTTGCCGCAGGTGGCGCTGTCGCAGAAAGCTGTCACAACTTGCATATTATGCTGACTTTGGGCCTGTGGAAGATGGACTGTGATGCACTCTAGATAAATGGAACTTCCACTGGGCTTGTGATAAGCTTGATACCAGTCTTTTTGATACCAACCTTTGAGATGGTCACGTGATCATGACGTCAGGGACAGCCACCTCGGTCGCGCAGCTGGTTAATGCGCGTGCCAACGTAGATGGAAGGTCCACGAGCCAAGCCTGACTTCGGTACGCTCTTCCTCAATCGGCTGTTACAAAGCAGATGGCAGCACCTGGGAGTGATCGCCCTGTCGCCGCGTTACGCAGCGTCAGCCAGCGCTCACGATCGTGGGATCATGGGCGCGGCCTGCCTTTAAGCAGACCCGCTGGCATGGCAGCGCTTTCAGACGGCATGATGCCGCTTCATGTCACCGGAGCAGTCTGCTGACCCTCGGTTCCGATGCATCGGGATGGCCTGCGTGTGTACATGCGCCTCCGGGGAGGCACGATAGGCAGCGTGTGATGAAGCCCGTCTCAAAAGGTGCAGACAAATGAAATGTCTGCCTTGTACATAGTATGCGTGAATAACTATGATTGAATGCATACCAAGCATGACGAGAAGACACGGTTGGGCCCCAAAAACATGCAAAGCATGCCGCCATTTTCATGGATAAGCGGCTCTGTTCAAAAGCTTGAAACGGTCATACTATCTTCACTGGCCATGAGGAGGTAAATTTATCGTAAAAAAGCCACGCGGCGCCGCTCGTGATGGCAACACTGTCGATCTCCTCACTCGCAGCCACGAGATGTGGCTGTATGATCAGCATGACCATGCGCCTGCCGGTCACGTAACCGAACTCAGAGAGAAGCCTAATGTGAGATGTTGTGGGCTGAATAATGCCGATATGGTGGCCGACTCCAAGATTGGAGCGTTAAGTGCAAGTACCTTCTTTACGCGTCTTACGTTGCTGAAGAAGCCACGAACTTTGATTGCGTCCCATGTATTCATCGCTTATGTACAAAAATACGATATCTAAATGGCCACATCCAGGACAAAGGCCGGCCCCGGCTAATTCTGCGTCAATAAAACCTCGAGAATAAATAATATGCACACATGAACGCCGTGACGTCACACGACCAGCGGCTACCGACACAGCACGTGCGGCAGGCACCCCTCCCCGGTCTGTCACTCGCAAGGTGTACTGTTCGTGGCCGGCCGACAGCGCAGACGCGCACGAGCCCCCATCACGCATCACGCCTGGTCAATGCACACACGCGCGACGGAAGACAACATGACACGGAAGGCAAGTGACATTGGAAGACCGTTCACAACCTGGGCCTCGCGCATCGGGCCGGCGCCGAGCCGCGCTGGGGGAAGCCCGCAGGGTCGGGGCGAGGTTCCTCCGGATAACAGACACAGACGCCGTTGTGCGCCTAGGCCGCATTCGAATTGCGCTGAGCAGACGTGGGAACGCATCGAGTGTTACACTTTTTGCGTGTAAGGATCGGTACATTTGCCCGGCGTTTACGTCGTTCAGTGGGCCATTTCCTACCGAGTGCCAGCTTGACAGCGCATGTTTTTAATTAGATGCACTTCGTCCTTTCACGATGGCTGAAACGCGAAACACATTTTAAGACAACGTTCCTCGTGGGATTTTTGTCCAATAAAAGAGGTCTTTTACCATGGCCACATCCAAGAAATGGTATTTTTTAGATTATTCGTAATGCTGGTTTTTAGAGAAATGTTTTAACGGACGATGGTTGAATACCATCGGTGACATCGTTTCATGGCGGATCTTTCAAGCTGCATCTATATATTTAAGATGTTTTGCACCTTGACCGTCGTGAAAGGAGCACAATGGCATCCGGGATTGGGTCCAAAAACAGACAGCAATGGGCGCAAAATAACGGGCATAGTACATGCTTCCGGCCATGACGTATAGAAAACTGCAGGCGGTTAACCTCCAATGAAACTACTCGCGCCTACGGAACATTATTCGGTACTTGCACCGCTTGTCACTGTTCGAAAATATATCTGCAAGGTGAGCGGCATTCGCGAAAAACTCCGACGCGTTCTCAGCACGCGGTCTAGGGTCGTTCCGCTTCCACGTTCGCAGTTCTCACGTTCTCAGTAGAGCACCTCTATGATCTAACGCGAAAGACTCACGGTTCCCATCCATAAAGCGGACACCAACTACTGTCGCTCGAGCACTTAAAACGCCAAACACCGGACAGCAGAGCTCAATCATCGCCAAACAAGAGCGGTTCAGTGGCACGGCATGCATGTGAGCTGGAATCTTGGATCATGAACTGACATCAGCCGGTGCCATTTTACACGGAAACCCGGGTAGCAAGGTTTCGAGAATAGGAAAGTCTTGAGCAGCATCAGCTGGAATCTACTTAGTGAGATTTACGAGGCGTTTCCGGGGGATGGCTCTTCAAATCAATGTCGTTGCTGGCCGTCGCATGCCTCTGTGGTGCATCTTTTGCAATGCAATCTTAATTTCGTTCTCATTATTTGCTTAAGCACATGTTTAAAAACGGCGGGAAGAATCATGTTCAAACTGCAAGGCTGAGCTCACAAACGCATATTAAGGGCAACACGGTAGAAACATAGTAAATGCTCTTCAAAAGCTTGTAAGGGCGCCAAAACAGCATGCAGACGACGTCACATTTTGCCTACGCGATATTGCATAGCAAGCATCACCATGGGAGGGGGGCGAATCAGGCTTTCGGGCCGCTCAGAGACCTCCCGCGCAGCTCGGGGAACCGGGAAAGATCCACCTCGCTCCTGACACCGGGGGAAGGGGGGGGGGGGTGTCAGGCGCTTTGTACACCGGCTCGTGACAAGCCCTCGTTGGCTTCAGCCACCCTTCGGCTTAAAGCCACACTACCATTGCACGCGCTAGCATTGCACTCTCTCTCCGAGCGCAGATACGATCCAACGAAGCCTGGTGGGAGCCAGAAGGAAGACTGAAGGCCGTGTCATGGAAAGCGGCAGAAACCGTATCTTCTTCAAGCTTAGAACCAACGCGTTCATGCGTAAACTGTCTCATAGTTTTGGCTCACTCGGGAACCCACCACCAACAACGCTTCAAATACGCTGAATTGTATGCACCATCTTCCGGCAAAATCTACTACACACCACATCCTCATAGATCCTGCAGAGCAGCATGTAACGGGCACGACACGGCATCACATCAAAAACCTCACAGACACATAACACGACCAACGCCCGCGGCCACACCAGATCACACGATCTAATGATCACGCCACACCTGTCTGACCTCACCCCGCCAGTGACGTCACATCACATGACCTCGCATCTGCAGCGGCGCCACGCCGCACAGCGCCGCTCGGCACAGCGCCTATCACATCTGCGGCCTTCGGCTTCGTCTCCCACTAGACCGCGGAGTCCAGGTCCCGGTGTCAGACCGCGGAGTACAGATCCTCGTGTGGGACCGCGGGTCCAGACCCTAGTACCGGACCGCGGAGACCAGATTCCGGTGTCAGACTGCCCAGGGAGTCAGGACTCCGGTGTGGGTCCTTCGAGTCCAGACTTTGATGCGAGCCCGAGTCCAAACCTTGGCGCCAGATTTCGGAGTCCAGACTCTGGTGGCAGACCTCGGAGTCCAGCCTCCGGCACCGCGAGTCCTTCGCGTCCAGACCCTGTTACCAGACCTGAGGCCGGACCGTGGGCAGACCCTCCCAGGCCGGATTCCGATTACGCCGACCCGGTGCGCGGCCGGAGGCCGGAGGCCCACTGCGTCAGCGGCCGTGCCGCCATTGTGCCCTAGAAAAGCGCTCGTGGCGCCGCCTATAACGCCTCGTCCCTCCGCCGGCTGGTCTGGCCGGGCGGGCCCAGCCGAAAGGTGCGCATGACTTCCTCCACCTGCTGCTCAGAGGTGGGCGCGAACTGGTCCAGGAACCTGCCGAAACGGAACGGCTAGGGTCAGAAGGGGTCAGGGGCGGCTGGGTCAGAAGGGGTCACGGGGCAGCCGGGGTCAGGAGAAGTCACGGGCCAGCTGGGGTCAGATGGGGTCACGGGGCAGCTGGGGGGTCAGGAGTCACGGGCCAGCTAGGGTCAGAAGGGGTCACGGGGCAGCTGGGGTCGGGAGGGAACTGCTCCAGGAACCCGCCGAAACGGGGCAACTGGAGCCTCAAGGGGTCATGGGGCATCTGGGGTCAGAAGGGGTCACGGGACAGCTGTAGTCGCAAGGAGTCACGGGGCAGCTGGGGTCAGGAGGGAAATGCTCCAGGAACCTTTGGCACAGGGTTACACAACAGGGGTTAGACCGGAGCTGGCCGAGAGACCTGCCAACACGAAGCAACAAAGCCGGGGACCCAGTGATACCCAACGCAGCTGGTCGCATGTCACCAGGGGCCGTCTGCACACAGGAACAAGCGCCTCTCAGACGGGATGGTGACACGCTCGGAAACTGGACATAATCTGAGTTTGGACAGCACTGTAGTATACCGTGATACCTTACACTGAATTTTGCTTTATCCCGTCACGCTTTGCTGCGCTTTAATACATCGTGCCTCCCAGTGCTACCACGAACACCACCTGCATTCAGTCAAAAGCGAATGTGTGACTCATAAGGCGCATCGGCACACCGTTCAGTGGAGAGGCACACAGACAGTCGCGCGGCCGCAAAGTCCGCCTGTTCGGCACTCACGAGAAAGGCTTGTGACCGCCCTTGATCTCGCAGATGACGTTCGTCAGCGCCATGATGTAATTACGCGCCAGCGTCAGCGTCTCGATTTTGGACATCTTCCGCTCCATGCTGACGGGTGGTATGACCTCCTGCAGATTCTGTGGATAGAGCAGCGGTTCAGAACAGGAGATTTCGGTGATAGAAGAAATTTAAGAACAGAAGATTCGGTGGACAGAACACAATTCCAGAACAGAAGATTCTGCAGAAAGACCATAATTTCAGAACGGAAGATTCTGTGGACAGATCAGAAGTTCAAAACGGAAGACCCTAGGACAGAAGACAGCACTGCGCCGCCGCCTTGGGTGTGGTTACGGGGTATGGGGTAGTGGTTGATGGTGCATCTCCGTTCTAACTTACGTGCTCCGATCATTGGCAAGACAACGAAAACGACACAGCGGTACGTAATACGATGCACATGACAAAGATGACGAAGAGTGGTAAACACCCTCTTGTCCAAAGGATCGTAAACATATGCACAGGATTCAGTATCCGCCTTTAGTAATGGCCAATGGTAAATAAGGAACACATACGTTCCGAAAAAGATCGACGCAGTAGTAAAGATGGCCCCGTAAAGTGTTGGATTGCTAGCTACATAATGGTGATATTTCATTCAAATTAAACTTATGAGCAGGTTTTTCACTTTTTTAAATCGGCTGGTGGGACTGAGACGAAAAGTTTGGCCTCACCTCTCCCCAAATCTGATTTCTCTCCGGATTTCGCCCACTTGAATTTGATTCCTCGATGTTAAGGCTAGACAAAAATTAATATTTTGTACATTCAAAACTGTTGGAAGCTGGGGAGGAAAGACTTCCCAGGTTAAGTTTATGAGAGCTAACTTTAGTGAAAAACCCAAAATGGAGTGTAATTTACAGAAAAAACATCTTTGTAAACCTTTTTAAGGCATCACTGTCGCTGATCGCACTGTATAAGCACAGCCATAATTATGCGAAAACTGCACCTGCCGAAGCAGCTGGGTGAAGACGTGCGTTATCTCTTGTCACGGTCATCCCATATTTTTCAAAAGTTGTCACGTGTTGCAGTTAAGTGTTCTGTTTCTCAACCCTGGCGACATCGTTCGAAAAAAACTGGTCAGGCATTTGTACACTGCCTAAACATATGAAGGAATTAGCATAGCGAAAATACTACGTACCTACAGGGTACCACTTGGCACCAAATATGCATGATATTAACAGTGATGTGTTTAGGTACATACTACGTAGTACACCTATAGTTCAGCTAATTGTTCTTTATCAATTCGACCCAGTACTCCCTCTTTGCTGATATGCACGAGGGGGCTGAAAAGGTGCGTTGAGGAGACTCAAGTCAGCTCCCGTGTGCAGGCTAGTGCATAGCACGGCAGTGTGGCAAGGCCGTTCAAATATGCAACAATACTTAAATCACCATACGATGTGTCTTCCGCCTATCCTACCCTCTATCTCCATCTTCACACATCCAAGCCCACGTTTTTTATTCGAACACCTGCCTGTCAAAACACACGAGCCAGTGCTTTAATAGCTTTCACAACATTCAGTGGGACCCGTTTTCCTTCGCCAGTAACTGACGTATGTGCTAACGCTGATCGATCCGCAGGCGCAAATGAAACAGTTGGACGGCCAACACCATCTTTTATTATGCGGATGTCGCGGAAACCGGTCAGGCTCCTATTCCAAAGCTTCAGCACATTGACGGGATTGCGACACGAGTGGTTACGACCGGGTTACTTTCGCACGCACGGACCGACCACGCTCCCCTGCGCGCGGAGCACCGAAGCGTCACGCGGTCTGGCAGCCCTTCCACGGCATGGGACCGTGCAGACCAGCACAATACGAACGCGCTTAAAGCCAGGCTCGGCAAAATGTCTGCAAGTATAGAGCGGAGGGCCGTTCTTTGCTGCGGTTAAGATCGATTCGAAGTGTAGATGCCCTTGGTTCGATTCCAGTGGAGGGAAAACTGCACCCGGTGCCCTCTTCACCGGAATGCAGCAACAGGACCAGGCTGCACATCGCGTGCATAAAAAATACCCGGCCAGCAACATGGATTTAGGATGGAGCAAAGCCAGTGCAAACCATTGACCTTTGTCCGATTTTAAGTCCGGGCCACTTATCCGCCTTAGCAGGCCATGGCAGGGATTAAAACGACCTAAGCACTGAACTTGATTTTTTCATGGTGAGCCGCACGACGTGACAAAGCGCACGCTGGTTCCGCCGTCACAAATACCTGGTCCTCCAGGCTACTGAAAGTGCCCGCGCCAGCTACAATACATAAGCGTCGCCGCATCGCAAGAGAGGCAAACAGCTACTCACGTGGAAAGCAGCGTTGAGGCCGTGCATACGTATGCGTTCCCGTTCGTTGCTCTCGAGTCGGCGCAGGTAGCGTTCGCGGTTAGCGGCGCCCTGGCGACGCCGGCGGCCGGGGCCGGCGGCAGCACCCGATCCGCCTGCCCTCTGTTGCTTGTTGGGCGAACTAGCGTCGCTGCTCGTGCCGCCGTCGGAGTCGCCCGTGTTCGAGGAGCCGTCTGAGCCTGCACCGATGGGCGCATAGCCGCCGTCAGTTGGGAGCCGATGGGCACGGCAGCAGGGAGTTGCTACGGATAAAATGTGCTACACAGAATCTTTAAAAGTGCACGTTACGAACAATGGCTTCCAGACAGCGGCTTACGGACCTCTACACGGCGAACCGCCGCCACAAGAACATCTGATTTACGACCAGTTCCCACATTACACTGCGTTACGAAGGTGAATGATGATGACAACGCTTACAGGAGCTGCGTGTGTCTGAAGCTGAAAACAAACAGAGATTGGAGATGCAAGACCTCAGCAGTAACTGACGACTGAATTACCTCAAGCTCCGAGCATTTTTGAAGCATTGTGTCAACCGCTAAAGTCCTGCAACTTTTATCGATTTTAGAACAGGGAAGAGCTTGCTACACAAATAGTGTTTCCGAGCCAACCGGTGAAGGACATCGATTGTATTGTAATCGGCGGTCGGCAATCTTGCGCGGTCGGCGCCAGGGCCCACTGCGCTGGCGCGCGTCCTCGTGGTAAGTGCCATAGCAAACCGAGCCCCCGTAGGGGCCGATGTTCAAGTCAAAATCGGCAGAAAGAATAAAGCAGAAGGCGTTAGACTGACAACAAGAAAGATAAAGGCTCAAGTGAGAAGGAGATATAGTTAGTTATTTGTTTTGCATGTGATGATAATGCAATGCGCTGGCGCAATCCACGGAACTTACGGAACTTAGTACAGCTTCCACGGAACTTAGTACAGCTTGAGCAACGTTTTCAATCACGTACCTAGCCGCCGTTTGATAGCCATCCGTTCGCTCTGGTCGTAGAGCTCGAATGACGTCATCATGTCGTCATCGTCGTCGTCGTCCTGCCAGGCGGTCCTCAGGTTGTTGGGCTCGACGCCGTCTGTCGTCAGGCGACGGATCTGCGGAGGAAGGCGGGCTGGTGAAGCGCTGCAGGACACCTCAGTCCGACTGACAGGCCGGCGCCAGACAAGATCTCCTTGGGAAGAATTGCACAATTGTTGACCGCGGAGCTTTCTCTACTTCTCCCAGCACAGTATAGCACTCAACCAATACCACGGTATCATCCACACGAGAGCGGCAGCGAATACTCCGTCTCCCAACGTCAGTGGATATTGAAATTGGGTCATTGCCGTGCATGAGAAGTTACAACTCAAAATCGCCCTTGACCCTGTCGCAACAACGGAACTTTCCACTCCCATAACCGTCAGCAGCATAATCGGAGCACCCTTGGCGTCAATGCGACATGGCAGACTCGTTCGTAAAAATGATGAGGTGAACACCCAACCCTGCAGACCCCACCGGAACACCGCCACCCTCGGCCCCCGACACGCCACCAACCGGCCTCGACGCCCGGGAAGGGAAAGCAAGATAGCTTGACACCTCACTCTAATCGGTAGCCTTCCACGGCCGCCACACCCGCAGGCTGCATTCTTCGTGCCAATGTCAAACGCTTGGTGCATATCTAGATGCCTGGGTCTCGTATGTCATGTGTCAAGAAAAATGGCGCTGACGAGGCTAGTTCATCTTTTGCTGACAAGTGGCGGGGTTCATTGTCGTGTCCTTCGTTACACTACCAGGTACAATAAACCACATGAGCACACGAGCTCGTGCCACTTTCAAGATGGGTCTCTTCGATGGGGAGATTTAGACTGATCGAGCTGTTTTTTTTTTACAACGAAACGGAGGACGATGATGTCGCCAGCTGGATGTCAGACATTGGGGGTGGACGAGCAAGAGACATTGCGAGTCAGGAAAATGGGGACAAACGGCAAATGGAAAAAGATGCAATATCCACTGCTTTATAAACAGTATTAAGTAAATACCCAGGCAGGTCAAGCATGGTAATGCAGTTTTCAAAATGGGCTGTGCCAAAAGATGACGAATACCATCAGATTTTTACTGGCGCTCAACAGCTGTGTTGAACGAGGTAAAGTAATACACAATTTCGTTCAGATGGCCTGCAAATGTTGCAATTATGATTGTTGACGCCTGGATAATGGTGAAGTGTAATTTTCATTAATGGGCCATGTTCCCCACACCTTCCTCTGTCCCCTCAATGCGCGGCCGAGATCACGGCACTAAGAGCACCAGAAAATCAAGAGAGGTTTGTGGGAAATCTGATATGCAGGACTACAAGCATGCGTCTCGCACGCATAAATAATGAAAAACAATGTCGCTTCATTATTTGTGAGAGATGGCATCCATCTAAGATGAACGTTTTAATCAGACCTGGAATTCAAATCAACTAGGGAAAATCAGACGGCAAAATAATGCATCTGCTTTTAAGACAATATTGGACTCCACCTTGATGTATACGTTCACTGGCGTATCCAAGGGTATCAAAGGAGCTATAGCCCTCGCTCTCAACGACGGCGAAAACGCAAGCTTTCTCTGTGTACGCTTGGTTTTCCGTGAGGCAAAAAAGCTGTCCACAAGCCGTTTCGTAGTCAATAGCCTATCCTCGTAAATGGAACTTCCCAAGATCGCCCCACGGTGTGATGTTGAATCTCCCTGGGATGGGTACAACCGCAGCCTGGCAGCAGTCGCCCGCTTCCGTCCCGTTCGAAGGCGGCCGGACTCTCCTCCGCTGAGCGATACCAACCGAGGCTCGCCTTCCGGGCCAGTCGTCCCAGCTGACTGGTGTCGGCCTCCGGGGGCCGTCACGCCGTGTGCCGCCGCACACTGGGTCAGCGGGACGACCCAGATCGGGGCCGGCCGCCCATTGGTCGGCGGCCGGCCAATCAGCGCCCGGTCTGGAGCGTTAACCAGGCGGATCGGTTGACGCCGACCGGCCGCCCACTGCACAATGGGCATAGTGTCACGGCGCGCTCAAGGCCATGACACGGAAAGGCGACCAGGGACGCCGAGAGGCTGCTTCGTAAAATATACGAGGGCAGCTCCAAAGCGTTCGAAGATCGGGCCAGTCGATCGATATGGAATACGACGCGGTGCAAGTGCAACCAGACGAGACCGAAGCAGATCCCGCCTTGCGATGCTGAACACACGCCCAGACACTGCCACTCCGATAGAATCGTCGGCTCGTGTGGAGCCAGCTTCGCGAAAAACACACGATCAGATTGCCCGGGCATGTAATGGCAGCAGTCGAACGTCCTTGCTTACTCCCTTCACTAGCATGCACTACAGCAACCACGCCGCAGTTTATCACGCCATGATAGCAGACGGTGCGGTGCAAACAAGCAGCCGACGGACAGAAACGGACGCCTGCACTCCCGAAGAGCTGAGTCTTTCGACAGAGCGAAGTGCCCTGAAGTGCAGGATCCGCCGGCAGAAAGGTGGCGGACAGCGTCCGTGGCAGATTCTGCGCTTCGAGAGTCGCGCAGGTCGCCGGCTTTCCGCGGGATTCGCAGTCGAGCCCCGTGAGCCCCCGGGGTCTATCACGCCCCCCCCCCCCCGGGGGTCTATCGGGAGCAGAGCGGCCGGGACCCCTGCCGCGCCGGACGGACTCGGACGGGCCGACCACCGCTGGGGACCCCGTGCCGCCCCGCCGGTGCGGATCGTCGCGCCGCAGCCCCAAGCAGCGTTCGGTGCCCGCCGACGCCTTCGGCAGGTCCTTCCCCAGTCACGTCCGTGAGCGTCACGTCCGTGAGCGTCACGTCGGTGCCACATCCGACGTCACGTCACGTCCGCGTCACGGCTCGGAGCGCCTTCCAGCGGTCCTCTGCAGGCCGTCTGGCGTGCCGCACCGCCGATGTTGAGGACGACGAGGACGCCCGAGAGGCGGCTGCGGACGGGGCGGAGCGGAGCTAGACACGCGATGTCGCTGACGCCGCGCGATTGGTCGCTCCTGTGGTTGGAACCCGGGCGAAACCTGGCCGCGATGACCGATCGCGGCTGACGGCGAGGCCGGTTGCCTTTCACATCTTAAAGTTCTCCGGTGGGCGCTTGCGACGGCGGCAAATCGGCTTTGTCGAGCGCCGACGCCGAAAATAACGATTATCCATTGCAAACGCCAACCGGGGCCCGATTGCAAAACCGATTGCAAAACCGATTGCATCCGACGAGCGGCCGCGATTTAATGTTTACCGTCCTGCCGTGCCCGCTCAGTCAACCGTTTTGTCTGCCGGCATACGGTCGCTATCTGGACGACAGGTGGTTGTCAGGCGGCGCTGAGATCTCACCAACTGCCGACGATACCGCACGAAACGGTTCCCATGGCGCCCGAAGCGCATTGCTGCTGTTCCCACATCGTTGGCGTGCTCCGGGCGGCGCGTGAACGCCGAAAACCGGGGGCATTGACGGCTCTCAAGAGGGCTGCAGGCCGCCGTGCCACCACCGTGTGGAGCCTCCCGGCGCTGTCTGGGAAGGTCCGTACGTGTCCCACACAGCCCAGGCCTGGCGCCGGGGGTGAGCGCCCCATGCGCAGCGTTCGGCGACGCAGGCAGCCTGTGCCACCGAGTCAGTGCGACAGAGGCTGAGGAACTGGCCGGACGGCGGCACTCCGCACATCACACCCGACCGGAGAAACTCGGTCACCCGGAACGCGGCCACCCCGACTGGCGCTGGCACATCCGACTGCATTACCCCTGGGCGCTGTCACTGCAACTCTGCGGAAAAAGACGCTGTGACACCCGACTACACTACCCTTGGGCACTGTCACTGCGAAGATGCGGGAGATGAATGCCACCCCCGAGATGAACCCCCGTGCAAAAGCGCTGATAACCGGCGCCGAACACCCGACGTCGCGCTGACGCTGGAGAAAGCGGCGAAGCGATGGATGCGATTAGTGAACACAATACCCCATGGTATCGCAGCAGTTAACGGGTATTGTGTCACGGCCGAAAGTGTCGATGGCAGCAGCTCGAGCATAAAATTAAAGTGGAGAACGTGAACGCGGGCGAAAGGGAACAAACACGAATATCTTATGTAACCACGGGCATACTAACAGCGCGGTTGGAGGAGGCTCTGTGCTTTCCGACATGTGCTGCGGTATCCTAAATGACGCTACGAATAGCTCCTTGCCGCAGATAATTCCTCGATGCAGAACGCCAGCCGAACATCCAAGTGATCTTTTCACTGCAGCAACGAATTACGGGAGGAAAGCCCAAGTCAGGATATCTCCGTCGTCACGCCAGCAGACTCCTATCACGGAAGCACTCGGACGAATAATGAATTCGGGCATGCATCATCTCATCGCGGCTTTTCCACCCGCGATTTCACCTCTGAGGCAATGGCAAGGAGCCCGGAACTGACATCTACAGGAGGAGGTGGGGTCGTGCCGAAGGCCAGCCCAGAAGCGGAACAAACAGATAGGCGCACTAATTGTGTTCAAATAAATATAAAATAAATAAATTGCCGAATGCATTTCACTTCGTGCTCAGGGCATGTTCGGGAGAGAAACAAGCCTCCGTGCTACCTGGCATGTACCACCCTATGACCTGGGGCACCCAGCATTGCGTGTAATTGGCTTCAGAAGAACATCACGCGTCGGTGCAAGGCCAATTTCTCCCTCCTTCGCCGAATGCTGAGCATGAGCATGGCGAGAACCTCGACCCAAAGACAAAACAATGGAGTTCAGTTCACAGAGATACCATTTATTCGTGCCCACCGACCACCCAGCAGGGCACGGTGGTCCGAGGTGGGAAATGGGGTACGTGGGTCCCGTAAAAGAGACCGGTATGCCGGGAGGAGCGGCCCATCCTCATGCAGCCCCCACGTGGTTGTTGGAAACAGAGTCGGTATGCTGCAAGGAGGGCCCATCCTCATGCGGTCCCCACGTGGTTGTTGGAAACAGAATAAGACCAGCGGTGAGAAGGGATATGGGATACCGCCCGTGCGCCGTCGTGAAAACACGGGCCGGTGGTAGCCCAGCCCCGCTCCCGAGCTGGCCAGAACGCGACGACACCCCCTCCGTCCCGCCACCTCGCACCGGCGGCTCCGCGCCGGGCCGGGGCTGGCACGAGCCGTCGTTGCAGGCGCGCCGACTCGGGGGCTCGAGGCGCAGGAGCTCACGCCTTCGGCCCGGCGCCGACCGGCCGCAGGGAAGGCCGGGCCGCCATGGGCACGACATGAACGTCACGCCAGGAGAAACCCGGCGACTTAGTTGCGCCACCGCGCCCGGCATTGCGCCATCGCGTCAACCGCAGAATGGTGGCCGAGTGGCATAACCCGGGCCATCCAGATCGCCCGTGGGGCCTCCTGTCTCCCGCAGCGCCGCCCGGCAGAGCACGTAACAGACGCCGTGTCCCATGTAGCTGTGACTTGTGCGCACGCAATCGCGCCAGTGGTTGCGATAAGCGACGCTCTATTTGCACTTCCGACCGCAGCAAAGACTCGCTGGCATGTTGCCGTCCGCTGCCATCAGTTTAAAGTGCTGACCGCGATCTCGCTAGCCACAAGTGATGTGACAACACTGCAACGCTGGGGTTTTTCAGGAGTGGTGACAAAAAACGCACGGTCGCTAGCGCTTGGGCGTCATCACGACGTTCCGCCCAACGCACGCGGCGTGCATCATAATATTGCACAAACTGCACGTGCGGTACATGTGGGTGGCACACGCGTCACACGCTCATGGGACATGCGCCGCGAATAATCCGGATGTGCCGCACGCACGTGTCGCACGTGAAAAGCGCGCCTGAGCGGCGAATGCCGCCGTTCCAGACCAGAGCCACCCGAAGGACGCGGCAAGGTTCCCTACTGCGCACATAAACCGTCCTTGAGCGTTCGTTTTTGTGCGCACGCCGCCACGTGCGTGCGGGGCGGCGCCGCCCTCGCCCACCGGTAATGGGCATCAGCCCGACCCGTAGGCAAGCGTACCCGAAACAAGTCAAAACAACCAGCCCGCGCCGATTAACATCCGCCTCGAAAAAGCGCAAACTGAGGCCGGCGCCGCACACCCGCGTTCCGCCACAGCGGCAACGTCAAGCGCCACTAGACTTGCGTTCAGAACGGGGTCTGTTGGCAGCGACGGCCCCGGCGCCGGAAACGGCCCGGGGTCACGACCACTCGGAGCTGCTGTGCAACACATCATTCAGTGAATAATGCACTTGCATGACACACAGTCATAATCATAAGGCTGCACCAGGCGATGACAACAGGCCTCCCATGTTGCACGCATCACAAAATATGTACAGGTGGACACATTCCGTCCGAATTTAAGGCAGTCGGTGGCGGATACAAAAAAGTAGCTTTGTTACTACTATTCGTGCCAGCCTTAACCTCGCGTGCGTAACAACAGGCTGGCACAGACAAGCGCGGCAAAAGGTCAGTTCTGCTATCAGCAGTCGATCTGCAGGCGTCTGAGATGGCCTGTTCGTGCGCGCTGCCAATCTTGACATGCGGAAGTGTTTTGACGTGCTGAAAATATGACGCAAGCAGTGGGGCATCTCTCTCTTCGAGCCTGGCGGACACGCCGAAGGCAGACCATCATTCTCATCAGTCAGTCCACATGCAACCCTATTGTCGCTGGTCAGCAATTGGACGATTTCGATGTAAGCACGGGCGTATGCCAAAGAACTTTGCTGTCAACTAGCCGATATTGTCCCTTGTCGTTTGTGATGGCGCCGGATGATACCAAGTGGTCATAATTTGATGGATTCATTTTTGTGACCTACCGGCGCGTGTGCGCGTCGCACAGACCTGTGGCCAACCTGGTTTCAGAAGGGCATCTTTTAAAGTGGTACGAAGGTAAGATTGTACCTCTTACGCGTACAACGCGGACGTGCAAATCAGCACCAGACTCGCAAAAATACACAGTTCCTTCAAAACCAAGGTCCATGTGATGCACGCAGGTGTTCATAGATGCTGTGCACAATATCACAACATAGTATGGCGCTTCCTCACACAACATAAGCCGAAAGCATCTATTGGAAGCTATCGGTAAAGCGTCCCTGAAAGACACCTCACTGCTCACGAGAACTGCGTGCGGAGCAATGCGTGTAAACCAGCCTATGAAGAGAACTGCAGCGGACACGAGCCAGATCGCACCACACCGCGAGTCGGAATGCTACCGGCTCATTATTTGGAATGGTTTCCGGAGGATTATGTAAGCGGAACGTTCGACACCTTATTAGCAGCGAGTGCTTGTTTAGCATCATTGTGTTCGGTGGTTATGGGTTTCCCACATGCTCTGTAGACAACCGATAAGGTCCCGTCACAATTCCGCTAGCTTGCAGCCGACATTGTCCCACGGATTACCCGCCACGGATTGCCCGCCACACCCCGTCTCTGCCGTGGCGGCCTCTTCCTTCTGAGGCGAAACACGTGACTGCCGCCCCCGTCGGAGTCCTCCACTGCTCCTAGTGGAGAACTCCGACGGAGCCCTCGGAGTCCTCCACTGCTCCTAGTGGAGGACTCCGACGGAGCCCTCGGAGTCCTCCACTGCTCCTAGTGGAGGACTCCGACGGAGCCCTCGGAGTCCTCCTCTGCAGCTGTATTACCCCCACTGCTCCTAGTCTGGAGCTGTGCTACTCCACTGGCGCCAGTCTGGAGCTGCGTCACTTCTGTTGCTCCACAGCCTGCAGCAGCGTTACCCCGCTGCTCCCCACCAGTCTAGAGCTGTGTCACCCCGCTGCTCTGTGGTCTAGACCGCTGTTGCTCCATGTCTGGAGCTGTGTTACCCCATTGCTCCTAGTCTGGAGCTGTCCTACTCTGTTGCTCCACAGGTTGGAGCTGCGTCACTCCTACTGCCTCCAGTCAGGGGTTGTGCTACCCGACTGCCATACAGCCTGGAGCTGCGTCACTCCTATTGCTCCCCTACCTGGAGCTACGCCACTCCTTCTGCCT